CTTCCTCCCACGGCGGGCCGGGATGAGCCGTCAGTCGCAATTCGGGGAAAGCCGGGCCCCAGGGGGATGTGCGTGTGACCGTGAACACGCAGCTTTCCGCGGGCTGGCCCCAGCTTGTGTCTGTGACGTGTGTGTGCATGGCACAAAGAGGGAGCGGGGGAGCGGGACCCGGTGGTGCGTTTCATTCTATGTGCAGAGTGTAACTGTGTGACAAGCTGATTATGCAACTAAGGGTGGGTAACAAGAATGGAGAGGGGTGCTAAGAAGTGTTTAATTCTGTGTGTGGTAAGATACAGGGGAGGGGGTAGCTGAGTTAGGCTGTAACAGCAAAAACTTTAAAAAAACCCAAATAGTCTAGTAGCACCTTAAAGACTAACAAAGCATGTAGATGGTATCATGAGCTTTAGTGGGCACAGCCCACTTCTTCAGATGACTGGATTATTAGAAGTCCAGTTCCAAGAAACAAATATAAGATAATATAGGTATATATTCAATGTATGGTGTAAGACAATGGTCACTAACCAGTACATCAGGTTCTATGGGTAGATCTTGGAGCCTCTGACAGGTGATCTTGACTGATTTGGCCAGGAAGCTATCAAGTGCTGGCACTTCAGTTGCCCCTCCATCTACTGTCCTGCTGTCCATGCCTTCTGCTTTGGAACTGCCCCCCTGGGAACCTCCTGCTTACTGTGCAGGGAGTGGGATGGTGAATGGGGGATGCTGATGTCAGGGTGTCCCTCCTCCCCCCACTCCTGTACCCTAGCTCCACACAGAGATGGAGAGATGCAGGGAACTTGGCAAGGCAAATCTGTCACTCTCACAAACACACACTGTCCTTTACTCTCATCTCCTGACCCAACACATATGTGGGATGTTGTTGTTACTTCTTTTACTGCTTGCTAAGTGGGTTATTTTTGGTTTTTGACTGGTCTGTGCATTTCATAATTTTTATTTCTCTCTTATGCTTAAATGCAATTCTTTGAGTAGTGAGTTCCCAAATATCTCACCTGTCATGGCTGGAGTAATTATCTCAGTGGTAATTGTTGCTCCTGGAAGTGGCTGGCATGTCCCTGCAGCACCTGAGAGGCAGAGCAGGGGGTCTCCACATGCTGTCCTTGCCCGGAGACACCACACCTGTAGCTCCCATTGATCAGTAATGGGGAACTGTGGCCAGTAGAAGTTGTGGGATCAGTGCCTGTAGATGAGGAGCAGCACATAGCACCATGGAGCTATTGCTGGCACATACAGCTGCTTTCAGGAGTGGTGCAGGGTCAGGGCAGGAGTAAGCCTGCCTTAATCTCACTGCTCTACCCGGAAGCAATCTTAGTTAAATATTTAATAGTGCCCAGCCAGAGCCTGTTTCCTAAACCCCAGACCCAGCCCTGAACCTCCTCCTGCCCCAGATATGAGTCCCCCTGCACTCATACTCCTTCCCACAGCTTGTACCCTGAATCCCCTCCTGGACCCAAATCCCCCACCCTGGGCTAAATCTGGAGCTCCTCCCACACGCCAAACACCTTGGCTGAAGTCCAGAGCCTGCATCCCCAACCTGCTACCCCAGCCTGGTGTAAGTGAGTGAGGATGGGGGACAAAAGGGGATGGAGTGAAAGGATGAAGCCTCAGAGAAGGAGTGGAGGAGGGGCAGGGCCTCAAAGAAGGGGTGGGAAGGAAGTGGGGCAAAGGTATTTGTGTTAGAGGTAGATCTTACATTGCACTTAAATTGAAAAAGTGATCTTGTGGTTAAAAAGGTTGGAGCCCACTGGTGTAAGAGAAAGTATATATGTTTACAAGTGTGTGTAAAACTGTACATACCCCAATAGACACACGTAACCATACAGGTGTAACAGATTATGTGTATTTGGCCTTGTGTGTGTATTGGGGAGGGGCGAGATTTGATTTATGTGAGTGGGTATGTGTGTGCACACATATTGGGAGGTGTGTTTACTTTTGTTTCAGATAAAGTGGGGTGGTAATATCTTTTGTTGGACTAACTTCTGACCCCACCTTGTCTCTCTAGTATGCGGAACATACATGCCTACAACAACACTGCATACTTTCGTGTTTAATAGCATATGTCAGAATGGGAATTTTACTAACAATATATATATGATAGCATACTACCAATACCAAACAAATAGGAACCAACAGGAATTGAATAAGGAGAAAAGTTCAAGAAAGGTGTTGGCTCATCCCTTCTCTATCTACTATAGATTTTGAAGAGTGAGTTTGTTTGTGGATTTGTTTGTGCAAAATAGAGTCATACTTCATGATTACCTACAGATACCACATTTTGCGTAAACAATCCTGACACTTAAATTAGCACTACTTTTTACACTGGAATATGCAGCGTGAAAGGCTTAAATAATTATTTTTGTTTTTCATAGGTTAAAGTCATGACTATTATGATTAGAGTTCATAAAAATATTTGCTAATAAAATTCAAATCGCGTTGGCTATTCAACTGTCATTTTAGTGCAAAGACAATTTTACTGTTACAAATTACAAAGTAATTCAAATTAGTTATGGAAAGAGTAATGGAAGCTTTACATGTTTCTGATTCAACTATACTATGTATGGTAATTATTTAATAAAATGAATAAGATTGGAAGTTAAAATCCTACAAATTTAAAACTGATCTTTTACTTCCCTTTTACAAGCACAATAATAAACAAATTCTATTACATATATTTAATTTCTTGAACTTTCCTATAAGTGTAATCTATGCAAAATGACTTTGCCCGGTCAACGATGGGCCTCACTTGCTAGTAACTAATGAAAGGTAGCCATGCATTCAGGTATCCTCTGAATTTATTCCTTCTAAAACTCTGTAATTTTTTCCTTATGCCATTCCCAAAATGTTCTTAAGCTACACGGGCTCAAGTATTGAGTCTCTATGAATTTCTGAACAAAACTAGTGTGTGTTACCTAATAGACCTCTCAAATAGCTGTTTTGAAAGTGCAAAATAGCTTGTTGAGAGAATTTGGTACCATTTATTTATTCTACACCAAGTTCTATGAAAAATAGATAATACTTATATGCAATTACTAAGGCTTTATTATTGCAAATTAAGTGATATAATAATGTAATACCAAGTTTGATCTTGAAGCTAAACTTCCCTCCCTGCTTATGCAGGCAAAAAAAAGTGTTATTAATAGGGAAAAAAGAAGGTGAACCAAGATAATTTAAACCATTAGCAATTTTAAGCCACATTGACCCAAGTATGACATGAGAATAAGTTGTTTAAAAGACACTTATATCCGATTTGGAAATAAATAGGGGGGGATCAATTTTTTCCCTTTAAAAGGGTCAACTGTATAATCTCCAAGTACTGTTGGATTGCATGTCACCACACAACCAGATTTCCAACTCTCTAGTACCTTTGAATAACTATTCAGGCACTCCTCATGATTGCATATGATATGGGTAACAGTTTTGAGATTTGGCAAAATAGAACAATGAGGAATGCCTATGAGCTTCTCCACAAATAAGATTTTGTTGGACAGACTTTATTTAATTGAATGGTTCTTGCTCACTTGCCTTTTGCATTGTTCCAGAATAATTTCCTTTAAATACTTATGTACTTGTGGACAGGAAGACCTAGATTTCCCTAAACATACTTCTCTTATTAAACAATTGTCATAGCGGGGAAGTGGGTGAGAAGAAAAAAATTCTGTTAGCTCTTACTGTGTCCCCATAGTGCTTCCTTCCTAGACGTTGTCTTACTCAGAACTGCGTCAGTCGCAATCATGCCTAAGATTGTTGCAGGATATGTCTACACTACCATTTCCCAAATGGTGTTCCACGGAACCCCAGGTTCCGCGAAGTGAAAATAAGGGTTCTGCAAGAAAATTCCATTACAATAACATTTTATTATTTAAAAAAAATTAATAATGTGTGATTTTTGTTTTTAAATATGTGCAATTAAACTAAATGTTGATCTCACGAGCTTGTTTAGCATTTGTTTATTATTATCCTTACTTATTTGTGGTCTACTTTTTCAGCTCCATATATTAGACTATATTAGACTGTTATTAAGGGTTCAGCAAAATTATTTCAAGTTTAAAAGGGTTCCGTGACCAAATAAAATTGGGAAACACTGTGCCTGAGAGCACTCTAGGCAGACAGACTTACACTAGCAGAGCTAGGGATGTAACAGTGTAGTTGGTTAACCAATTCATCGATAAGCAAAAGCTTATAGGTTAATGCTATAGACTACATGACTTTCCCTCTCTTTCCCCTCCCTCCCCCTGCCCTTGCCAGTACATTTTTTAGTAGGCTGGCCAGCAGTCCAGGACCTACCCCAGCTGCGGCTGTGCATTTAAAGTGTACTAGGAGCCAAGAGGGAAGGCAGCCCAGTTCAGTTCCAGCTCGTGATGGGTCCAGGAGCTCAGACCCCCCCATAGACAGGGGCTGCTGCCACTCTGCACCTCTGTGGACCAGCTCCTACCTGGCATCCTGCGTTGCTGCCTCTGATAGAGTGGCTACTGGCCCTGCCTTCAGGGATTATAGTATAGTTGACTAACTGAAAAGAATTCATGAGGTTACTCAACTATTCAAATAACCGATATTTAACATCCCTAAGCAGAGCCTGAGCCAGCCCATTAAAAATAGCAGGATAGACCTTGGGGCTTGGGCTCTTGAGCCTACAGGGAACAAGCTGCAGCTGAAGTCACTATAGCCACTTAAATATTCAGAAGGGGCCCTAACCTGTTCAGGGGGAGGAAAGATGGGCCATGTTCCACCCACAG